TTTGGGATTTATCGGGATCGCATCGGGATTAATTAATGAACTTAGAATATTAATTAATAATCATTTACAATCAACCTAAGTCAACATTGGACTTAATGGATTAAGTCCTTAATGGGTTAAGTAGGAAAACTTAACCCTAATCATCATTTTAGGTGAAACCCTAATTTCACTTGGGCCTTAAGTTGGGCCTTAAGTTGGGCCTTTCTATTGGGCTTTGATGATTAGGATAATAATGGGTCATCCAAGATCAAGCAAATGGACTAGAATATGTAATGGGCTTTGAGGTAAGGCCCATATGAGGAGTTGGGCCCAATTTGCAAAATTGGGCCATAGATGGGCCATAGTTTGGGCCTTTATGACTATGTGATAATTGGGCCATTAGAATGTTGAAAGTTGGACTGGACTTTTTGGTTAGGCCTTTGAATAAGAGATGTAAAGCTTGGGCCCAATTTGGAAAATTGGACCATATGTTGGGCTTTGAGCCATAGTTGGACTTTTGGGCCTTTGGATTGGGCCTCGGGCTTGAATCAAGCCAAGTTAGGGGTAGAGTAGCATTTTACCCCCAAGCATGGACTTATGGTTATGTATTGGAACCCAATTCTTAATTGGGTGTTATTTTGGTGTTGACAGTTCGGGAATCTGTCATCCAGCAGCTGGGGTTGAGTCTGCGGGACTTCAGTAGTGTGGGATTGTGTCTACGGGACTTCAGCAGTGTGAGGTGAGTTACCTTCCAGTAGGAGTGGGTCTACGGCCACAATGCCGGCCCACTAGTAGGAATTGTTTGTTAGATGATTGTCTTTGTGATAATTATCTGGTGTGTTGTTATCTGATATGCTTTATGTGCTAGGATGCTATGACATATGTGTTAGTGGTGGTAGGGGTGATATAGACCTAGTTACCGGTTGAAAGATACCAAAGGGGTAGATAGTACCCATGCATGCCTAGCAGTATAATCATGATATGTTATTATGTGGTAGTAGTAGGGGTGAAATAGTCCTCGGATACCGGTTAAAAGATACCGAAGGGGTAGGTCGGGCACCCAGATATGCCTGACAATATATTCATGTATGTTATGCTATGTTATTATGTGGGTAGTGTAGGGGGTGAAATAGTCCCCAATTACCGGTTGAAAGATACCGAATGGGAGGTTAGCTCCCGGTTACTGGTTGAAAAGAGACCGAAGGGGAGGCCAGCACCCAGATATGCTAGGCGGTTATCGGTTGAAAGAGACCGAAGGGGAGGCCAGCACCCAGATATGCTAGGTGGTTACCGGTTGAAAGATACCGAAGGGGTAGGTCGGGCACCCAGATATGGTATGTGGTATGATGGGGAACTCGCTAAGCTTTGTGCTTACGGTTTTCAGTTTTGGTTTCAGGTAGTTCGTTTTCAAGGAAAGGAGTCGGCTCGATCGCAGCGCATCACACTATGGTTTTCCGCACATGAGATCTTTGGGATTACACTCTGATATTGTTTTATGATAACATGTTTTGATTACTTCTACTTTGATTTTGACATGACATGATATTATGGATGTTTTCTTATACTGTTGGTTTATAATAACTTATCTAAAAATAAAATTTTTGGCCTTGAATTTTGGGATTTTACACACAAACAAATAAATTATATAAATACAATTATATTGGGTATTTATATATAAAAAACTATTATGCTATAAAATATTAAAAATGTTATATAATTATTATAAAATTTATATTTCATAGATGAACGATCATTAAATATATAATAAGAAAAAAATATTTAGTAAATAAATAACAAATGATTAAAACTAAAATATAATTAAGAGAATAAAATAAAATATAATTAAAGAATAATGGGTTAATTGTATTAAACATAAAAATATATTGATCATTCATTATCTATATCTTATCTCTATCGAGTGATTAATAAAAAAACAAATAAACTATGTGCCCTAAAGCTTTTAAGTGGTCAATAAAAGAAAAGTGCTAATTAAAGATGCTCTAAAAACATGCTTTTAATATTATATATAATATAGATATATATATATTATATATAATATATTTATATATATATATATATGAGAACCAAAAGATTTGTGATAACTCGTGAACTCATAATCAACTCATCATTTTTCAACACCAAAAACACCAATCTTTTCTAAATGATACGTCTAAGCCATATCTAGGCTAAAAAAAAATTTAACGAATTTTTTTTTTTTTTTGGTTTTTTTGTAAAACTGCTGATGAACACAATTAGCAATTGTACGGACTGCTGATGAGCACAATCAACGGTCTATACAACAACTGATTGTGTATACATGCAAATTTCGAAAATAAATAAAAACAATTATTAAATCTTTTTTTTGAGCTGAGATAAGACTTAGACGCACAATTTGGAAAATATTGGTGTTTTTGGTATTAAAAAATGACGAGTTGATTATTAAGTTCACACGTTTTTTTAGTTCTCACAATAATTCAGTCATATATATATATATATATATATATATATATATATATATATATATATAATACATTTTTAACTTTTAGCTTTTAGATTAAATTTTTATTTAAATACATTTTTATTTTTCATTTTCTATGAAAAAATCCTTTAACTTTTAGCTTTTTTCCGGTTCAACTCTTTAACTTTTTTTCTGAAAAAAAAAGTCTCTTAACTTTTTTTATCGAAATAACTCTCACATTTAACATGTTTTTTCGGAAAAACTGCTAAAAAAGTAAACTAAATATACGAGTCTTTTTCAAAAAAAAGTTAATAAAAATAAAATTAAGATGTAATCTAAAAAAAATACAATTTATAAGGTCTTTAGTGATATTAAAATTTTCTTTTTTCCTAAATAAGGGTGAGAATGTATATACATACCGAAAGTTCCTAGATATATGTATTTGTTACCATTGACTCGTCCAATCCGTGCCTCCCACCTTCCATTGTGATGATGTCTGCGCGAGGCAAAAAAAAAAAATTAAATACTATCTTTTAGTATCAAATCTATTTTACCAAGAGATTTGGAAGGTTAAGTCTTTGTATGATATGATTTTGACCTAAAAAAATATGATGTGTTTATGTTTTAAATATCCCTTAATTTTTAGTTGTTATGTAAATATTAAGGTTCTAAAAAATTCATTTTGACTTTGTGATAGCTCCAAAACTTGTATTTAACGCAAAACTTTAATAAAATATCGTCTTAAGTTATATATATATATATATATATATAATATATATATATATATATATATGAGAGTGAGGTTCAATAGATAATCATAGTTAACCAAAGAATCAATCTTTTTTTCAATATTTAGAGCTTGTTTTTCTTATATAAAAAAAAAACTAAATGTACAGAAATTAATAACTTTTTATCATTTTTCAAATGACATCAAATTCGATAAAAAAAATCGTCAAATTCACAGTGTGAATTTCGTCAAATTCACAGTGTGAATTTCGTCAAATTCACAGTGTAAATTTGTGCAAATTCGCAGTGTGAATCTGAATTCACACGGTGAACTCGAAAAATATATAATTTATTTTTTAGCATTTACAATGTGAAGTTATTAATTTAAAAAATTTTAGTGTTTTTTTCAATAAATAGTAAGCTCTAAAAAAATGTTTTTTGGAGAACCAATAATTATGGTTCTCTATTGAATTTTTTTTCTCTCTCTGTCTTTCTCTCTCTCTCTCTCTCTCTCTATATATATATATATATATATATATATATATTATATATATATATAATTGTTATTTTAAGTCACGTCTTACAAACGACATGACTCGTCACAACTTATAAAAGTTTGAGGCTTTGACATTACCTTCAAATCACACCTAACGTTACTTATAATCATGATAAATATTGCTAAACTGACCAAAAAACATAATAGCTCATATTTGACAGAGATGTTAAAATATGGCGGGTTAGATTTTACTTTAGACCAAATGTAGGTAAGGCTGTAAACGAACCGAACGAACACGAACATGGCTTGTTCATGTTCGTTCGTTTAAGTTAATCGAACAAATGAACGAATACGAACGGTTAAACGAACGAGTTTTTTTGTTCATGTTCGTTCGTTTATGTTCGTGAACATGCTAAACGAACATAAACAAACAAATAAAGATAAGCAAACATATATGAACATAAATGAACATATAATATAGTAATGTAATCAAACACAATTAAACATATATGAAGATAAAATGAACTTATATGAACGAACATATACAAACGTAAACGAACAACATAAACGAACGTTCATGAACATAATTGAACGAACGAGACCATTGTTCATGTTCGTTCGTTTAACTAAACGAACGAGATTTTTTGTGTTCATGTTCGTTCGTTTATTAAATAAACGAACATAAACGAACTTCCCGCCGAACGGTTCACAAACAGTTCGGTGAACGTTCAGTTCGTTTATAGCCCTAAATGTAGGGGTTTTGGGAGAAATATCTTGAATGGAGGATACACACTCAAAAGCTTTTAAAAACTAATTAAGTTTTAGTATTTATTGACTGAAAATCATGCTCTAAAGTAAAAATATGATAAGTACGTTTATTAAAAAAATGGTCATAGAAACGTGGTTGTCTGGTTTATTTGATATTTAAAAATTAAAAGCAAATGTATGTCATTTTATTATAATATTTACTCCAAAAATTATAAATAATTAGTAAGGGATTGTTTATCCCAAATCAACCATGATATATGTATTTATAAACTAATGCAATGGACCGATATATTTATATTCACAAGATGCATACTCTTATTATTTATTCCCGTCAACAGATTATTATATTTAATGTACTTTTTGGATGGAGAAAATTAATTAAAATATTTTAATATTTTAATATAATTCAATCAAATCTTTAATATTTTGATTATTTTTTTAGTTAACCATTTTTACTTGTTATATCATATTTTATCTGTAATTGTTTTTGTTGAAGGAAACGTATTAAATTTCAAATTAACCATTTTTATATATTATATTCGGTTAATTTGAGAAACAAATTTGTCAAAAAAATTTATGATTTGGAAATAAAAAAATAGAGTAAATTACGTATTTGGTTTTTTTGTTTTACAAAAAAATCACAAATTTAGTCCAAATTTTTATATCGTCTCAACATTGTCTTTATGTTTGCATTTGGTTGCATATCATCCCGCCTATATAAAATTAATTCGAAATTTGAACTAAACATGCAAATTTTGAGTAAAACATGGGGACCATATGTGTAACGAAATACAAACTTAAGGACGACACTGGAATAATTTTAAAATCTCGACCGAACTTGTAATTTTGTGTAATATAGAAGAGCCAAATTTGTAATTTATGCTAAAAAAAATAACATATATCATTAAATTGCATCAATTATAATAGTTTTTTCTGTAATTTTTCATTTGACAAGTTTTTTTTTTTTTTTTTATAAAATGATAACTAGTAATAGTTAGTGTGCTTTTATATCGATTATCTTTAAATTATACTCAATAATCTGATACACAATTTTTTGGATCTCCATTACACTGTTAGAACGGATTTCAAACGAATAAACTACCACTGAATCATACGTAGCATGTGATGGAATCTAATATGATATAATTTGTTCATTTATTTCTGTTCGTCGATGACACTACGTCCATTATGACATTTAATATGACATAACTACTCGGTTGAAGTCTATTTCAATGGTGTAATGATAACTCAAAAAAATTATTGGTATGTCGAAAACGATTAAAAGATAAGTCACCCTAAATAATAAAATAGTTATTATTATATTTGGAGACATTAAAACCAAATAAATAAAGACAAATCAATAAATTTAATCTTATTATGATTTATATGATCATTTATTATAACGTATCACAAAAAAATAATAATAAATAAAAAAAAATTAAAAAAAAATTGTAGAGGATGCATTGAAGGTGATAAAATGGCAAAGAAAACTGGTTGTATATAGATCTGACAATTTGTATATGTGTGTCATGTTATGGGCCAGACAAGAATTTTAAACGATACGAATTGTGAAACATAATATAAATTGTAAAATATGTCTGATTATGAAACATGAACACAACACACAAACAATATGTTTAATACATGACACAATATAAATACGACACTTTTTAGTAGTGTTATACAAACTTATGAATTTACACGAATACCATTTTGGTAAGTTCGGAAAACAATTGAAAAAATCTTAATCCAAGGTACAAACTCCTATCTACGTTCCTCACATGTTTTATCAATGGGTCAAAGGTCAAAGGGGTAATGGAAGAAATTTAAAATTTTCATTTTAATCATGTTTATATGTGTTTTATATTGCATGTCACATGTATTTTATTTGGGGTCTTATATGTATTTATACATGCAAATTCGTGTCTAACACGAAATACAAATTTTAAATATGTGTCGACAAGAATAAATACAAAACATGAATTGCCCAAACTTATACACGGAAACACATGTCATATTGGTGTCGTGTATTAATATTTGTAACGTCTAGTTGAATACCATGTCTATTAATAATTAACATTTTAAAAAGTACTAAAAAAATTGGTCTTTGTTATTACTTATTAGATTCCATAAGTAACTAATACATAAATATATTAAAAATGATTAAAACGTTGTATTTATAATAACTACCAAATTTTGTTTAATGTATACGTTTTAAAAGATTTATTATATTCAAATACACCTTTGTCCAATTTTGACCCCTTTAATCTAAAATCATTTTAGACCATGTTTTTAGTTACACGAAACTTTCTCCAAACCAATCATTAACTAATCCAAGAAAAGGTTTCTTTAATCACTTGTATATCGTGCACTAAAATTTATATATTGCGCACGATTCATAACTGAATTATTAGAGAAAAGTTTTGTTTTTTTCTCACACTAATAATAAATATTTAAAACGAAAATGATTTAATATTTTTATTTAGATTTTTTATTCAACCAGGTGATATCACTTTTATATATTTCAACATGATTTTCTTTCTTCAATTTAAGTGAAAGTATAAAATTCAAATCGTTTACTGTTTAAGCGGATGAAAAAAAAACTTAAATGAAAATATCAAATCTCATTTAAAATATTGCAAACTAGTGAAAATATAAAGCTAGGAGAAGCAATTTACCTTGCTACACCTCGGAATTTTGAAACGCCTCGAGAAAATCCACTACTGTTCCTTCTTAACACGGCTAAGTATTCTTCCTTAGACATTTTTTGCATTTCTTCCATCTCGATTTTGTACATTTCCGGCTATCATATTATTTGCAAGATCGAATCAGTTGAGATATTGATAGTGTACAACTTTTAATTCATACTGTATAAGTTTCCATATAACTATTCGTATGGAAGATCTTTGTGATTACCATTTCCAGTTACAAAAAGCACATTTTTGAATGTACACATTTGATATGTTCACTAGCCCCCCTTTTTTGACAAACTTTTTTGCATGTCATATAAAAAATGCATTGGATTTAGTAAAATAAACTTTAGAAAAAGGAAAGTTTATAAATCCACAAAAAGATGCAAACGTTTGCTATGTTAAAATGAACAAATACAAATTAATATGCAACTCTCTCGATTGATACATACCCATAAGAAGTATAAAGTAATATTAGAGACCATATAAAGTCGTTACCGGAAAATTCAGAGTTGTTTCCGGACCCCAATACTTAAGAGCAGCAAGATCATAAGTGCGAGCAGCAGCCTCTTCTTCATCATATGCCCCTAAATCAACCATATCATCATGAAATTATTTGTAAAGAAAAAAAAAAGAAACTAAAATATACGATATTAGACTTTGCCCTTAATTTATTAAATTGGAAAATATTTTTGAGTGACACACGGACGCCGCGCATGACAACTTATTTTATACTAGCCTCCAAAATGAAGTTCAGTATAAAATATATATAACTCAATTTTAAAAATAAACCTTTTGGATTATACCCAAAAAGAGTATATTAGTCTATTAGTCTTTATTTTATTTTTTCTATGAATAGTTTTATCAATGGTGCGGATCAAGAAATAAAAATAATGAATAACACAAAAGTTTTAAGAATTACACTATTAGAAAAACTCATTTTCGTAACAAAATCCATAAACAAAGGGTCTTACCAACGGATTTACACTGAATAGTCTTATACGACTTTGGAATGAATTTTCAACGGATTCGTAATGGATTTATATATATATATATATATATATATATATATATATATATATATATATATACTATAATTCTAGGACAAAATCCAGTAGTTGTTTGTATTATTTAAAGTTTTTAATACATATATATATATATATATATAATATATATATATATATATATATATATATATATATATATATATTATATATATATATATTGATTTTTGTTTTGCATATTTAATAAAATAAATTGAGTAATAAAAATTTAATAAATGTTTGATAAGTAAATATGATTATAGCATCAAATGGTATGTTACTAAAAGTAGATGGTAAAATATAATTAAAAAAACAAATACTCAGAATAAGTGATTGGAGTTGATGTTTAAAAAAATACTGTATTAGTTTACAATGCTATTGAATAGTTTTTCAAATAGGAAAACTCATTTACAAAAGATTACAACTAAAAGTGCTCAAGTATAAATTCAATATTTAATTGTTCACATCAATAGTAAAAAGTTCCATTATTAATCAATTTCATTAAAAGTTAAATAACATCTATAACAAATTGTTTTACATATAATTGCCAACTAACAAAAAATACAAATAATTATTATTTTAAAATAACAAAATTTTACATTTTTCTTAGATATCAAATATTGCATGTATGTTTTGTATACTATATAAATGCTCATTATTACAACGCAATATAATATTATTATGACTGGAAACCAAGACCAACAAACAAAGATTGGTCAGAACAAGAATTTCAGTGGTCCAATTCATAAAAAAAATGTATTAAGAAAAGTTGCAATTGGTTATTCGTTGATTGATCATCGATCATCGATCAACATCAGAAAATGATTATTATCATTTCCTTTGAGTAAAATTCTTATATATTTACCTTTTAAACATAAATATAATGATTTTTTATTATAAAAATGACAAAAAAATATATTAAGAAAAACTATTTCAATTTAAAAAAAAAAAAAAAAATGAGGAGAGAATCAGAGAGAGTAAAAGCTTACCCAAATATACTACATAAGCAGCAATGGAGGAACAGGGGATGACACCCAAACAGAGTAAAAAGAAGACAAAGTCAGAAAATTCGTAACTGAATTTAGATTATATATTAAGAGATAAAGATTGCAGAATGCAGATCTCTGTCTCTTGATTAATAATAATTTAATAAATTCAAACTTAATTAACTAGAAATTAACAAACTCTGTTTCCCCTTCTTTTTACGATTCTGATTCCAGGATTCTTTATCCCACAGATGAGCTTCATATCGTCCTGTAAGCCTATGCCTGTTCATTTTCCATGCATGCAAATCGAATTTCATACAAATTTATAGAAAAATGAAGAGTTACATTGAAGTTTTTTGAAGATTTTTGGTACCTTGTAACACCTCTGAAAATGGAGGTCCTGGGCAGAGGTTCTGCAGAAGCAGGTTGCTTTTTCTTGTTCTTGGATTTTGGATTCATCAATGGCTGTTCATTGTTGCATGAAGAAGATGGTGACATATTTCTCTTCACATTTCTCTTCATTTATAATTTTTTTTTCTATACTAATTCTTTTAGAGAGAGAGAGAGAGAGAGAGAGGGGGGGAGAGGGAGAGTATGTTGTTTAAGAGTTATACTAAAAAACATGAAGAAAAAGCAGAGAATTTAAGTGGTTCGTGAGGAGGGGGGAGGGGGTATATGGTTAGTTAACTTGAGCCAGGTAAGATTTATAACCAGAGTTTGATTGATCATAGGGGTTATTTGTATTTAAGACCTTTAACTTTTAGTCAATTGTAAATTGGTAAATTGCATAGAAAGAGTTATACTATAAGTTGTTTTTCATTTTGTAATTCATGATTTAAAATCTCCATTATAAGGACTATTTTTTTTTCATTTATTAAATGTTGATTTAAGAAATATAAATTGTAAATTAAAAAATAGAAAATGTCTATACAATTTGCCTTTCTCATATTAATTCTAGTAACGATGATTACCTAGAAGATGTACTCAATCAAATATGTATGAAGTTAATTAACTAATTGGTTTAGGTACATAATTAAAAATATTAAACTATAATAACTTTATTTTATTTACTTCTTAAGTAACTTTTACTTAGGTAGCAAATGATATCGTATGTTTAGACTATCCGGAATGGGGTTTCACCCTACGCGTGAGGTCCTATGTGGCAAAGAAAGTCATGCGTGAACACCGCCCCAAAGGTGGGTGGGTGTCTTGTGGCGTGGTACGAGTTACGGACGAAGACGGACAACCTGATTGGCTTAGAGGCTTTTGACCATTTTTTTTCTTTTGTGAACGTGTTGGAATAAAAGAAATCAAATGTAAAACATAACTTTTATATATATATATATATATATATATATATATATATATATATATATATATATATATATACTTAACACATATTTTCAACAAACAAACACTTTCAAAGCATCAAACATGTCATACCTTGTGAATGGATATCATTATAATTATAGGTATTACATTGGTGATGAGATATATCCAGAGTATGCTATGTTTGTCAAGTCATACTTATATCCGGCTGATGAAAAACGAAAATTGTTCAAGTTGGCACAAGAATCGTCAATGAAGGATGTGGAACAGGCGTTTGGGGTCCACAAACAAAAGTGACACATGATCAAACGTTCTGCACGAGCATGAGATAGAGAAAAATTGATGAAGGTGTTGATAGCTTGTGTTATTTTACATAACATGATAATAGAAGAAGAGAGCAGAGCGATTTGTATGTATAGTCTGGACGACATACTTAATTCACATGCAGTAATACAAGTAGGAAGTCTGGCACACTTCGCAAGACTGTTGAAAATACAAAGCAGTGAAACACGTCACAATCTACGACATGATTAGACTATGATTAGACTGAGCACATATGGCAAAGGAAATCCCAACAACACAATAGCGACGAGGAGGAAAATGAGGACGCGGTTGATGAAAAAGAGGTCGTCGACGACGAGGACGACAATGATGACGAGTAGTATATTTTATGTTTTCTATGTTTTTTAGTTATTTAGGTTTTAATATTTTTTTATGTTTTTAAGTAATTTAGGATTTAAATTTGTATGTTTTTAGATAATGTAATGTGTTTTAATTAATATTTATATTTTATTTTTGTTTAATAATTATTTTTTTTAATTTATTCTAATGTCAAAAATAAAAATAAAAAAATAAAAAGATAAATACAAAAGAATGGTAACCATTTTCAATGACTAGTGGTTTGATGGTAGACATGTAGTAAAGTTGACGTATCGTATATGTGACAACACTTTTCTAGTGGGTTAGTGATGACCATATCCGTTAGCTTTATTAAGAAACAAAAAGGATTGTGTTGAACAATGTAAAAGTGTTAGAAGAAAATTAAATATTAGTCATTTCGGGTTGTATTTTAAGTGGGGTAAATGTGATCCTTTGTTATATCTATCAATCGATTTTGTTGTCAATATGAAAAAATTACAATATACCTAGGCAAGTAATATATACAATCTTGAAGTAAGATCTCATTTATAAATTCTAACTCTTTCTAAGAAGGAAAATATGTGTGAACATTTTGATGATTGTAACTTATAACTCACACAAATAGAATAAAAGAATTGTTATAAATTGAATACTCAAATGGGGATAAATGGTGTTTTCAATTTTATATAATTTTCTAAATTATTTAATTAAAAGGTATTATTATTAATTTATATATTTATTCTATTAATATGATTTTGAATTAGAATTAATATATTAATTATTAATAAAATTCAATAAAAGACTAAAAATGCTGACTAACTTATTTTGATCCCAACTTTAAATTCTCTATTTGAACATGTTTTAAACTATTTATTTGAACATGGTGCTGTACCCGCTTAATTCTCTTCTTGCATCTAGGTTGACTGGTGTATATGACGAGTCTCTAGTCATTTTTCCTCTCATTGTTCCAACTAATCTTTGTTGATCAATGGCTTTAATATTTATCACATGATAGTTATACATTTAAATTGGCTAAACGGGTCTACGACTACCATATGTGTGCAATAAGGACTTACATGACAATCTTGAAACAACAAGTATTACTATGGAAATTGGTGAAAGTTCGATGACAAAAATATAAAGAATCTTTTTTCTTAGTTGGTCACGTTGTTGGTGTTTACTCTTCGTCGAACGTTACAAAAAAAAAAGTCAAGAAAGAGCATGGCCAAGAAGAGCGTGGAAGACACGCGTTGAACGATCAATAACTTGACGACATAATTCTCAAATTTTATTATATTTACAGGTCTAATTCCATTTACATATCGTTGTATGGTCAACTCCATTTAAAGTTAATGATATTGATGGTTAGCAACATTTGTTAACATATAAACAAAATACAGTTTAATTCAAATTCAATTTCGTAAATATAATGTTTTTTAACTACATATATATCTATTTAAACTGAATTCTGTTCATACGTTCAGAAAATAAACATTTATATGCATTAACTTAATTTTATATGGAAAATTACACATATGTATGTTTCAAATGGTATCAAAGTCATGGCTAATATATATATATATATATATATATATATATATATATATATATATATATATATATATATATCAATTGTAGATACATAGGCTTCAAATCATATTACTAATTATTGAACTAACCTAAGTTTAGACCATAAATTCATACCAGTAAGTGTCACTACTATAGAACAAATGTGTAGATCTAACCTTCATCGAGATTTGTCAAAGTAAAGTATAGGCTATATGAAATTCTAAGGATAGAACTTGTAGTTACTATATGAGTAGTTCAAGATGAATGTAGATGAGTGTGTTCATGGTAATGTCTTAGTGTGTTATTGTAGTTTGATATGAATGTTGATGAATGTATTTATGGTATTATCTTAGTACATTTGTCTAAGAGTAGCATATAATGTTAGGAAAATGTAAGTTATATATGTAACGACCTGGACTGTAACACTCCAAAAATCAAAGAAATTTAAAATTTTTAAAACCAACCATTAACCAACATTATTTACAAAAAGAGTCATTGTTTCAAAAGCATTATTCAAAATCAGAGTTCTTTTCCCAAGACCTAGTGACATAAAACAGGAACATGTGCACGATCACGCCTTTGCTTTCCCACGATCCTCAGAAGTACCTGAAAAAATAAACTGAAACTGTAAGCCAAAGCTTAGTGAGTTCCCCCAAAGTATCAATACACCACATAACAAACAAGCATACAAATATGAGCAACCAGCCTGAATGGACCACCTCGCAGAGCCTACAGCCTATATGGACCGTTGTACGAGCCTTCAACATGACTGGATAGCCTCACATGGCCTACAGTCTATCCGGACCGCTCTACGGGCCGCCAGCCTGACTGGACCCCCTTGCAAGGCTTACAACTTATTCGGTCGTCCTCGGGTGTCTTGGCCTACAACACAAAGCAGGACCTCCTCAACCCAACACAATATGTCGACATATGTAACAGACAAACATAAACACAGAACCAACAAATACAAATAATCATACAGATCTACTAATCAGTCATATACCAGCGTAACACTATCATACAATCAAGATACATAATCTAGTAGGTTGACATTGGTGCCTTTGATCCACGGGTACAATGAGGAAAACTCACCTGAAGCAGCAAAACACATACTAAGACTATCGAAGTGGCTGAGATGAATCTCCAGCTCCATGGACACCTAAAACCATATTAATAATCTCGACTTATCTCATATTTCAAGTATTAGCTAATTCTACGCCCTAAAACACTATTATTCTCCTTTTATTATAAAATGCGGTAATGAGCCAAAATCCATAAAATAAAGTTGGTTACCAATTTATATGTAATTATAAATTTGGTCAAATCTACTAATATTTTCACCAATTCATGTACTACTTTGTAAGGTCCTACACAAGCAAACACAAAATTAGTTATTAAGTATAATTGGGCTATGTAAGATTTGTTAAACACAGTTATGGTCACAATTATGTTCTCTAACACAGTTAAATTGTACTTTTATCACTTAACTAAGATGTGGTCAATCCTAGCTCTAGCAATTTAATGGTCACTAAATCACTAGGTAAACAAGTTCATGTAATTTAATGGTCACTAAGCTACACTTAACTTGAATTAAAGCAACAAAGAGAAACACTTTAACATGCTAGGTAAGTTAATCAAACACAAGCTCCAAACCAACTTTTATAAATCCATAAACTAATAAAATAAACCATAGTTATTAGGGTTTCATCTAACTAATCGAAAGTAAAGAAGTTCAGCTACTCATATTTAAAATCAAACACACAAGCTCATGGAAAAGTGACATGATCAAACCGAATGAATTGATGATGTTTTCTTCTAGATCTATTCAACTCTTGAACTCCAATTGTTTCCTCCTCTTCTAAGGGTTTTGCAGAGGTTTTTTTTCGTAATACTTCTCCAGAAAGTCACCTCCAAGTCCCCCAATTCGTCATAATGTTCGGATATATATATTTGACTAAAAT